ACTGCTAGAATGCTATCTCCCCACACTGCTTTTCAACACAGCAGCCCGTGTGTGCTAAAAATACTTCTGCTCAGCATTTTATTTGATCTTTTTCATTCCATGTGCAGTAAATGATGCATATATGGACGCAAAGGAAAGATGGGAGGACGTGCCCTGGGGTCAGGAAGGGGTAGTGGCTCACTATCCATCTGCTCATGGGTAACACCAAGCCTCACCCTCAGGTGTTGTGACTGCAGCATCAGTTCTGGCATGATGTGCTGGTTTTCAGACAATGCCTGGCTGCTTGCTTTATTCCTGCTCATTGCCAAGAAATGGCAGTTGAACAATTAAGGCACAAAGCAGAGAGGGCTTGCAAATCATGAACTGTTTTTAATTTGCCTCATTAAGCCACTGTTAACTACTTAAAGCCATCTGCTTAAAACTAATTTACACATCTTAAGTTTGCTCTAGAGAGCAGGTAGACCTTCATTAAAGCAGCTTTTGTTATTAATGTTATCTTTAGGGGGACTTCAGTTGTTGTGGAAAATAATTTATTGCTCACTGAACCAAACTTTGTTTGAACCGAACAAAAGGAAGCAGCACATCTTTGTAACTTGAAGTCTGCTGCCATAACCGTGTTCTTGGGAACCACTGGTGTTCATTTAGAAACTGGCTTGCTCCGCGGGAAGTTATTTACAACCATTAGGTAGATCTGGATACGAGAAAGGAGAATGAGCTATGTGAATGCCTCATAGCTGGGTTGTCTAATATTATCCCCCAAAAATTAGTCCTGGAGAGGAAGAACAACTAGATCTGTCACATCTGTAATTGAGGAGGGGGAACCTTGCTGCGTACACCCTGAAGAGCTCACTGAGGAGAAACATGTTTATTTGTCTCACCAGATTTGTAAAGAGACTATTTCAGTTACAGAGAGCAAATCACCAGCGAGCCACAGACTCTACCTCCTGTCTCAAGCTGAGGTTCATTGTCATTTCAGTTAGACAGCATGTGCTCTCCTTTCTGACCTGCTATATATATATTCTTGTGGTTTGTTGTGGAATAATTGTCCTGGCTCTCATCAGAGGAGACTGTTTCAACAGTGAGCTAATGGGTTACTGATATGAATAAGATTATTTAGTGTGAAACTAGCTTTAGAACTATTAGATAACGATGGTGTGAGAATTTAAAAGAAGGTCCTCCACTCAGTCTGTGGGAAAGATGTGGATATTAGCTGAGACTCAAGCTGAGTAAAGGCCAGGCTGGATGAGGCTTTGAGCAACCTGGTCTAGTGGAAGGTGTCCCTGCTGATGGCAGGGGGGTTGGAACTGGATGATCTTTAAGGTCCCTTCCAATCCTAACCATTCTATGATTCTATGATAACTGTAAATATAATTCTTTCTATTAAGATTTTATTTGTCTCTTTCTGGCAAGGAGGAAACCTACAGACTGACTGCACGAGTTTGCATACAACATGCTTTCACATGTGTGGCAAACTAGAAAAAATAGAGGTCTTTTTGTAATTGCTTTTGGTTGCTATAGTTGAAGGTATTCTTTGCAACTGCAGCTGCTATGTCTTTTAGTTTGAAATAAGTCTTCTCGAGGAATCCTTGACTGGAATCCTTTTATGTTTGCCCAGTCATCTGGGCCTACATTTGAAAAAATAAGGAATGAAGACAATATATTAATTTGTCATCACTGGAAGGAATGAATGTTCTAAAAATGTATATATATCCTGCCATATTTGATATGCCCTCATACTTCTGTTCTCTTTGCTATATTTACCTTAATGTGGAAAGAATTTTACTTCAGGATTTCACTGTGAAACACTTCTTCACAGTAAAAGCTTTAAATTACATAAAGCTAATTAAATAATTATTGTAGATCAAATACGTGAAAAAATAAATCAATTTTTAAATTTGCAAAATACTTACTAGCATTTTTTAAAAAATGCTTACCTTCACATCTCTCTACTGAAGAGTACTTGTTCTTAAACATCAGTTCAGCTGCTGTGGTGGTTTCCTTTTCACTTCCACCCTCTTTCAGTTATTTTTTTAGCAGATGGAGAGGTGTCAGAGAAGTAAAGACAGCTGTATCTCAGTGGAGTTAGCTCTCCTGAAGTACTGCTTCCCTTCTGTGTGAAAGATAGCTGCCTGTGATGTCTTATCATTTGTGACCACAAAAGTATTTCATGTGTCCCTTTCCTTCTGCTGAAGAGAAGGAACAGAATCAGTTTGTCCTTTCTGGCACATCTACCCTCTGGTCCACCTGAAAGGCATCAGATGTGGAGTGGAGGAGCCCACTGCTTAATGAGAGAGGAGCCTTGAAAACTCCTAATAGTTGAGATTTGTAGTGAGATATGTAGAACAGGACTAAAGAAAACTCTGCTACTGGGAGCTGCAAGGCCCTCAGAAGCCCTTAGCCTTACTGTGTTGGCTTCTCACTTGCAGAGTAGGAGGAAGATCTGTATCTGAGAGGCTTCTGCAGCTCTGTTCTCTGAACACATGAAGAAGGTACAAAAAAGGCTGTCTGGGGGATGGCTCCCAGCCCTCTGTGTTCTGATGCTGCTGGTTCCTATGTTCCCTGTACTTTCATCCAAAACGAGAAGCCGTGTGAAGGAGAAGAGCTGCTGAATGGAGAGGAAGACTCAAATGACTGCCTGAATAAGTGGACATGAAATGGGGCATGTTTCAGATAATTGACTTCGGAAACTCACCTGGAATGTGGATTTCTCTGTTTAGGAAATAAACCTTTTCCACTCATCTTGCTCTTTCCTGCCCCACACCCAGCTGGAGCTGCTCCAATAAGAGCCCTGCTGAGGGTTCAGCAACCCTATCCTGGTTGGTGACTGAGTACATCTGTGAAAGAAACCTGGCAGAGGAACTCAAATGACAGAGCTCAGCTGAGGAGGAGGCAGCAACTTAGCAGAAGTTGTTTTAAACAATATCTCTTGTGAAGATAGTCTCTGAGTTAGTCCCTGAGGAGTGCTGACATGAGTCTCAACTTTGAAGCCTTGGGATGGTTTGTTTCATTTTTTTTCTGAAAATGAGAGACCTTTAGTTCTTGTGTCTACTTGAGAATGTAATTGTGCATTGAAGGAGTAATTTCTAGCCCTTGCATTTGTGGAAGAAAGTGACTTGTGACCTGAATGCCCTCTTACAGCTCAGAGCTGGAAAGCTGCTGAAAACTCATTGTTTGTAGTTAAATCACTGAGTAGCTGGGTGTGAAAAGGCTGTCTAGGAGATTCTGAGATATAAGAGAAGGGCATGAAGTAATTTGCTCCAAATTCACAACCTGAAACCAAATGGGAAAGCTACAGCCTTTCTTGTTTTTCCTTCCTTTGTTTGGAAATACATTAGTAAGTAGCAGAGGAGTCAAGAGGCAGCTAGAGGAATTGGGATGGAAGCATTTATCAGCTCTAACCTCCTAGTCACATCTTCAGAGACAGGCAAACATGCTGGGGCAAGACAGTGCTTGGAGGAAAAAGGAAAAGAAGGAGAGCTCCAACCTCTTTTTTACACCTTTATGCCAGGAAGACTGTGAATAATACCACTTTTTTGAGATACTTGAGAAAAGGAAGTTTTTTATCTTTTTTTCACCTGGTAAAAGGGAAGTTACATGACTATAACAGCCATGATTAAGGCAGCGAATTTCTGTCAGTGTGACAAAGTTGGTCTTAAACATTTCGTTTGCCTAGCTACAGCAGACTAAGACACTTCTGATGCTGGTGCTTTGGGGGCTGTAACGTTGGGAAAGAAAAGGTTATGTGCTGTTCTGGTTGGAGTCACTTATTAAGGCTATTTTACAGCCTTCTATGATGGCATGACTGGCTGGGGAGATGAGGGAGGACCAGTGGATATTGTCTACATCAACTTTAGCAAGGATTTTGACACTGTCTGCCATAACATCCTCATAAGTAAGCTTAGGAGCTGTGGGCAGTGAGGTGGATTGAGAACTGGCCGAATGTCAGGGCTCAGAGGGTTGTGATCAGCGGCAGAGTCTAGTTGGAAGCCTGTAGCTATTGGTGTTCCCCAAGGATCAGTGCTGGGTCCAGTCTTGTTCAATTTATTCATCAGTGACCTGGATGAAGGGACTGTGTACCCTTAGCCAGTTTGCTGATGATACAAAACTGGGAGGAGTGACTGATACACTGGAAGGTTGGGTGGCCATTCAGCGAGACCTGGACAGGCTGGAGAGCTGGGCAGAGAGGAACCTAATGAAGATCAGCAAAAGCAAGAGTAGAGTCCTGCACTTGGGGAGGGATAACCCCATGCACCAGTACAGGCTGGGGTTGACCTGCTGGAAAGCAGCTCTGCAGAGAAGGACCTGGGAATCTTGGTGGACAGCAAGTTAACCATGAGCCAGCAATGTTCCCTGATGGCCGAGAAGGCCAGTGTCCTTCTGGAGTGCATTCAGAAGAGTGTGACAAACAGATCGAGGGAAGTTCTCCTCCCTCTCTACTGAGCCCTAATGAGGCCACATCTGGATTCCTGTGTCCAGTTCTGGGTTCCCCAGTTCAAGAAAGACCAGGAACTACTAGAGATAGTCCAGTGGAAGGCTACAAAGATGATTAAGGGACTAGGGCATCTCTCTGCTGAAGAAAGGCTGAGACACCTGGGTCTGACCATGCCAGCCACATGACGTGGTTGCATCCTGGATACAGAGATCTTATGGGTTTTTATATATACTTTTTTCTATATATTAAAATAAGACAGCAAAACAATTAGGTTCTGTGGAATGAAATAAAAACAGAGGTTAAATTACATTTTTTTTTATGAGGGATACCCTGTGCAGAATGACAAACAGTGACACATAAAGTAGATTCCACACCTATGAAGTAAATTTGGAGGCGATAGGGGATTCAGTGCAGCTTTGTTCTGCTAAACAGGCTTAAAATATTGATAATTCTTCAGCAGTAGACCTTAAAAACCTAAGTTTAGATTTTGCATAAATTTAAGGTGCTATTATATAATGACTTCAACTTTTTTTCCTT